TTCTGTTCTAAAGAAGCAGGTGTCCCAATACTTTTGTCCATATAGTGTATGTGCAAGTAAATGTATTTGGTAGTTTAAACACTTTTATAATTAAAGGGTTAATAAGTTCTAAAAAGTTTCATAAGTTTTGAAAAGTTGCTAGGGTGTTGCTAATAGGGAACTCGGGGTGGTTGCTAGGGTATTTCTATGAGGTTGTTAAGGTGCTTGGAGTGGTTGCTATGTAGTTGCTAGGGTACTTATAGTGGTTGCTAGAGTGTTACTATGAAATTGCTGGTATCATCATATTAAGGTCAATGTAAGTCTATGGGATTTTTATGATTTGTAATCTTCATTTGCATGAAAACCGTAAGTCTGATCAGTTAGAAAAGATATAGCAACTTAAGATCAGTCTGAAGATCTGGGCTGGGTTTGGGGGATGTAGAGTTAAAGCTCTAGGAGGAGTTAAGAGTCTCAGAAGAAGAAGAACTAAGTTTAAACAGCGCTTCAGTGAGTTGTTTAATGCAGACACACAGATGCTGTTTACTCTGTTCATGTGGAGATCTCAAAGTCTTCATGTGAAATAAGACCCTTGTTCACACTCACTGTTTAACCTGATCTTTCAGACCACAACAAATAAAATAAAATAAAAAATGGGTTTGAGCGATTTACAAAGCAAATCTGATTTTTGTTCTGGTTCTGGTTTAGTATTAATTTAGTGTCTTCAGTGTGCATATATTAATATGATTGATATGCATTAAACATTAAGTAATAAATGAGTTTAAATCCTATTGTGTTGTGATTCATCATGTTACCTCTGTCAAACATTTCTGTTTTCAAAGGGCAATACTGATGAAAATAAAATCTCGTGTCATGATGCAGGTGGGATCTCATACTTCAGGCGGTTTCTCGGTGTGTCTGTGTGTGATCATAAAGAACGGCTCGGGGTCTTCTGAGCAGCTGATTGATCAATCTGCACTTATTAATGAGTATGCATGTCACACTAATCTATTCTTGCCGTGTAAGTTACAGATGCATGACTCTGGATCTGTATTCAGAAAGAAGTTTGTCTCATCACTCACTGTTTACTTCAGGCTTTTGACTTCAAGCCAATTCAACTTGCCAAGAGTATATTTTACTAGAAAACGAGAGAAACCGTGCTATAACGATGTGATTTTTTTTTTGTGATTATTGTTAGTTATTTCTTTTGGTGTGCTGTAAAAAGCTTGTGTTTTTACATGTGTTGATTTAGAGCAGTAACGCTCAGGCTATTTTTAGCCTGTTTAAGCTCTTCAGCGTGTCAGTGTTTGCAGCGGATAGCAAACATTACTCTCAAATAAAGCAGCAGAAACACATGGACATGAACTCAAGAACACCAGCAAACCACACTGAGAATCACATTCTCATCACAGCACACCAGATGAGGGGCAGGTGAGGAGGATGAACTAATAATGACATAACGAGAACAGGAACAGCAAATATGGGCAAAAGGAACTAACTAATGAGTACATGAGGAATGAAAACACAACAAAACGTCCAAAGGGGAGTGACAGGCATAACATATTACCTTAATAAAGACAAAGACTGAAATGAAATGAAAATGTGTGTTTACCAATAAAGCAAGAGTAAACACAGAGCTGAGGACAAAACCTCAAACCAGGGTTATTATAGTTAACTAAACCAACCAACCAAAAATAAATAGATTAATTAATTAATTTAAAATGTTAACTGAAATGAAATAAAATATTTAAAATCACATTTTAGTTCAGGTAGTTACCAATGCAACATTTCTCATTTTTATTTAGTTTAACATGATGCCCTAAAATAACTAAAACTTAAATTAAAATTCATATAAAACTATTTAGACATTTGATTAGCATACTACTGTATATCACTGATAAAATCATACAAGCAAGCATGTGAGATGTTCAGATGTTAAAACTAGTGGTCGTGTGTTGATGGCAGGTTCATGAATATCTGCCTCCACTGTAAAAATCATTAGGAGCATAAAGCATCAAAAATACTGAACAGATTTATATGAATATATTAAAAATAACTCTTAACATCTATATAATTTAGCATGAGCAGTATATATAGCACATATGAGAACACTAGCGGTGTTTGTGTCTCTATCGCTTCTCAAACTCATCTCAGCATCCAGTACAGAAATCACCGCTGAAAAATCACATGAGCTTTGAAATCACTGACATTTTTATTCATCAAGCTATCTTCATTACATAATTGTAACACTCAGCCTTCAACAGCACAACTAACGTTTGTTCCGGGGCCTCTTAAAAGAGTTGGTTAGATTGATGGTTGTTTATTGTCTGTAATGTCCAATATATAAATGTGTGGAAGTCTTTATGTGTGTGTGTGTGTGTGTGTGAGAGAGAGAGCGAGAGAGAGAGAGAGAGAGAGAGAGTGTGTGTGTATGTGTGTGTGTGTGTGTGAGAGAGAGAGCGAGAGAGAGAGAGAGAGAGAGAGAGTGTGTGTGTATGTGTGTGTGTGTGTGTGAGAGAGAGAGCGAGAGAGAGAGAGAGAGAGAGAGAGTGTGTGTGTATGTGTGTGTGTGTGTGTGAGAGAGAGAGCGAGAGAGAGAGAGAGAGAGAGAGAGTGTGTGTGTATGTGTGTGTGTGTGTGTGAGAGAGAGAGCGAGAGAGAGAGAGAGAGAGAGAGAGTGTGTGTGTATGTGTGTGTGTGTGTGTGAGAGAGAGAGCGAGAGAGAGAGAGAGAGAGAGAGAGTGTGTGTGTATGTGTGTGTGTGTGTGTGAGAGAGAGAGCGAGAGAGAGAGAGAGAGAGAGAGAGTGTGTGTGTATGTGTGTGTGTGTGTGTGAGAGAGAGAGCGAGAGAGAGAGAGAGAGAGAGAGAGTGTGTGTGTATGTGTGTGTGTGTGTGTGAGAGAGAGAGAGAGAGAGAGAGAGAGAGATTGGTCACAATCACAAGAGTCCGTGAGCTCGAAGGAGCAGCGCTGTCCTGTGAATCCTAACAAACCATACATCAATGGAAAGCTTATTTATTCAGCTTTCAGATGATGCATACATCTCAATTTTAAAAGAAAAAAATATTTTACTTACACATTACATGTAATAATAACTATCTTAAATCTTGATTTATTGCCACTGCGTCAAGGATGGAAAACGATGCAACTGAAATCACGTAGGTGTAATTCTGAATGATCCCTAGTGCAAACACATCCTAATGCATATCGTTTCTGAATGGCATGCAGTGCTTTACACTCTTCACGCGTCAGTTCTGCTGAAGCTCAGCGCGTCAGACGCGCGCTCCTCGGAGATCAGCAGAATTATTGCAGCGCGCAGCGCGCAGGCGTGATCCAGTCTGAGCCGCGCGAGCTGGAGGCCAGTCGCTCGTGCAGCGCGTCTCTTCCGTCTCCTGAGCTCCACCTCTCCCGCCGGACATGCCCTCCGGACCCCGGCGACGCTCCACGTCTCTGTCCGGCGCGTAAATGGCCCTCCCGCCATGGACGAAACGCCGTTCCAGAAAATCAAGACGCGGCGCAGGAGGAGCCACTGCCCGCCCGGGGTCATCGCCTGCGAGGACGAGTTCGACTGCAAGGAGCTCGAGTCGCTCTTCCGCAGCTACAGCCTGAAGCTGGAGCAGACGCGCACGCTGACGGCGCTGACGGTGCTCGCGCTGCTGGCGTCCAGCCTCAGCCTGCTGGAGCTGCTGCTGTCCGGCGCCAGCCTCACCGTCGCCAAGGGCTCGTACCCGGTGCACTCCGTCGTCTTCGTCTCGCTCTTCATCGTCACCAACGTCAAGTACCTGCGGGCGAGCCAGCTGCAGCAGATCGCGCACCTGAGTCTGCTCTTCTGCTTCAGCTTCTCGCTGCTGTGCTGCCCGTTCGCCGCGGCTCCGGAGCAGGGCGTGTGGCAGCTGCTGCTGCTGACGTTCGTGGCGTACGCGCTGCTGCCGGTGCGCACGCTGCTCGCGCTGCTGTTCGGTGTGCTGGTGTCCCTGGCGCACACCATCGTCACGGCGACGTCGGTGACGCCGAAGACGCAGCGGCTGTGGAGAGCGGTGAGTTCAGCACTGGACAGCGAACAGTTACATTTAGTCATTTAGCAGACGCTTTCATCCAAAGCGACTTACAAATGAAGACAGTTACACTGAGAGCGAGCAGACTCTCATCTGTGTCCCTGCAGCACAAAAGCAGTCATAAGCAGCACAGGTATATTTGTAGCAATAGCCAACAATACATTGTATGGGTCACAATTATACATTTCTCTTTTATGCCAAAAATCATTAGGATATTAAGTAAAGATCATGTTCCATGAAGATATTTTGTAAATCTCCTACCGTAAATATATCAAAACTTAATTTTTGATTAGTAATATGCATTGCTAAGAACTTAATTTGAACAACTTTAATTAGATTTTTTAATTAGATTTTTGACTTTGATTTTCTCAATATTTAGATTTTTTTGCAC